TTCCGGACTCAAAATCTTTCACAACCAGATGATAATAAGAGGACAGTTTTTGTCTTGAAAACCGCACGTTGCTATGCTATGGCCTAGTGTTGCATAGATACAAGACGAGTTACGATGGTGATGAGATATTTTTTGTAGGACAGAGAAGGCTAGGGTATTAGGGGTCGAAAATTGGCCCAAAGTTTTCGGTTTTTGTCTAACAAGAGTGGCACTATTCCTGACGGAAAGTTAAAGATAGTCGGGCATATTATTCAGTCAGAGTGGTCGTCTAATAATCTTTAGTTATCATTCATAAATATATGAACTTTTAAGTGGCCAAAAACCGGAAGTGGCGAACCGGTTTTCGTCGAGTTTTCAGTGGGGGAGAGGTGGCCTTGCCCACAGTGCAGGTGGTTCTTGAAATCTCACCCGGACTCCATCCAGAAGACCTAATCGTTGACACTAACTTAGCTTGTACTAGCTCTTATATTTTCATTTCTACCGTTTTCTCGCGTATTTGCCAACAATGGTATCATTTTCGGATCAATGAGGGACGGTTCTCGCAAATTAGGCACGTGATTCGCATCATGGCAGTCTTTCGAAGCTCACTTTGCCTGAATCTGGGGTCAACAGTTGAACAGGCTTCGTAGAACTGCATCATCTCATGGGGCTGGAGCCGTTCATTGGGTAGCTTGCGACCGCCGTAATTTGGTATGAGCCTCGTGAAACCTAAAGGAGGCATCGTGACCTCGTTTGAGAACTTGATCATGGCCCCGACACCTGCTCAGTTGCTTCGCAAGAGCACCATAGCTAGAAGGCCTTGGGAAGTAATGATGATGGAGAACGTACACCCGATGTTTTTGCCACACGGTCTATAAAAGCAGGGCCTTTTTTGTCTATTCAGTCATCTAATAGTCCCTTCAGACTAATCCCTGTAGCGAAATGGTATCTATCACCAAACTCATTCTGGCTGCCACCAGCATCGTTGGCACTGTCGCGGTCGCGGTCCCAACGGGTGTCATCGAACGGTATATGGAGGACTCTGGTCTTCTACAAGCTCGTGCTCCAGCCACGATCACTATTGGAGACCCTATCGGGTTTCCTTACTACTGGTGGACGGATGGTACCGGTAGCGCCAACTTTACGAACGGTCCTGGTGGGCAATTTAGCGTGACCTGGTCTGGGGGTCATTTCATTGGTGGAAAGGGATGGAATCCCGGCTCTTCTTCGAGGTAATATAAGCATTTCATCCACCAAGTCAGTGACGTCGACTTATTCGATACTTTCCTAGGACTATCAACTACAGCGGCGTCTACAAAGCCACCGGG